GCCGTCTCTACCTCGCGGGTTCCCCCGCCTACCCTTGCCTTTTCCTGAGGTCTCTCTACGGCCCTTGCCACGGCCCTTTCCCCCGAAGAATATCTCATCATATTGTTCATCTGAGAGCCTCTGGAGGAATGCCGTGATGCCTCGTCCGTTTAACCTCCGACGACCTCGTTTACCTCTACCTTTTCCCTTGAAACTCCTCCGTATCCCCCTCCTAACACGACGCACTGGTTTTCGTGTGAACCTCCTCCACCTCCGTTTGGCCTGTTGTAATAACCAAAACAAATGTTCAGCACGCTGATTGTCATTATCCATATTCATAATATCTGACCAATCTAAAGCTTCAACACCGTCTGATGATATAGTATCTGTGTCGGTGCCGGAGTCGAAATCCTCGTCTCCCAAGTAGGTGGATACACCGTCGGTTAGGGGGTTTGATTCACCCCATAGAGAACGCTGTGGTTGTGGTTCTCTAGAAGGAGGGTTGGTTGCCCAGCTTGGTTGTGATCGATCTCCTGCTAGTAGAGCAGTGGATTCTCCAGGATCATCGGCCCATATGCTTGAGGGCCCGTTCCCAGGCTGGGCTTCAGTGGTTAAGGTAGTGTAGAAATTTCCAGTACCAGATCCCCTTCCCCTTCCAAACACAGATCCTATATTACCAGGAGACCGTTCTGATAGGTGGCCTATCGAACGCATCCTCTCCAGTAACTCATCATACTGTTGTTGAGTTCGGGGCATTTGATGATTGAGTGGCTGTAAGAGTTGCATGGCTCGCTGGTTGCCGACGCCTAAGGCGCGGCACAGGATCGTGGTTAATAACTGGAAGTTGGGAAGGTCGAATCCAACCGACTGTGCCTCAAGTCGGGCATTTCGAATCGGGTTAGTGTGACATCGATTCGTTCTCCGTGAGGCACATGAAAGTCGATGAGCTGTGTGCCGGAAGTGAGCTGACGCTCATCTTCCAGGCGCTCGAACTTCATGCTTAGGAGGAACATGATGTAGGTCACTGGGTCTGTGTGGACCCCATCGATGTCAGCACCAGAGTTTATAATGTCAGGTGGTACCCTCATGGCGAGTGTCCTCGCTAGGCCACCTAGGCCGCGTTGTACGGCGGCCGCTTGGGCCTGTGGCGTCATACGTCCGCTTGTGACGTTGAGCCACGCGTTGACCTCATAAACGTACTCGCGAAAAGGTACGTTGCCTTGAGGGTCCCAATATGGGCCATGTGTTTGCCCATCGGTACTGTTGTCTCCACGACGCATGTGTCCGATTGCTGCCCCCAGCGCGAACCATATAATAGCGAAGATAACCAGCCCAAGGCTGTGTAGATAGGGGTGGTTATTAGGCGCGTTGCCGCGCTGGGGTAGCGCCTTGTCGAGTCTTCGAGGCGCTCTATCTGGCGGGTCTCCCCGCCCATGCTTCCGGTACTGCACTTTTGGCTCGTTGCCGAGCGGTTGGTAGTAGCGCCATGATGAAGCGTATATGGTACCAATGTCGTTATCTAGACGTCGTACCTCTCGTGTTGCTTCTTGCTCTTGGACAGATCCTCGTAAACGTACTGGGAGTGGTAGCGCAGGGTTGTAGGTGGTCACGAGGATCGTGCCGAAGAGTATGAGGATGAGAGGAGCAAGAGCTGACCACACGAGAGTGCGGCCAGCTCCGCTACCAAGTCGAAAGTGAGCCTGGTAGGTCAAATAGCATCCGTCTCCATGGGAGGCGGATGAGCTCACATTGCATCAAATTCCATGTCGAAGGAATACGATATGGGGAGTGGATGGGTATGATAGGATAAGATCGATGCATCGGTCTTTCCAGCCCATAGCGAACACTAAGGTAAGTGTCCGGGCAAATAGGGCGCGCGTGCCTTGAGCCCGAGGCAACGGCGCGCGAGCTATGCTCCCGATACTATAACATATCCCAAAGAGCTACCCTTGAAGTCGGGGGTCCTCAGACCAGCCCCGGCCCAGGAGGGGGAAGCAGCAGGAGGCAAGATGGAGGGCACCCTTCTCCGACCGGCTACACGTAAGAGTGACCCTGCAGCAGGAGCTCGACCGGGAAAAACCTTCCACAAGAAACCCAGCCCTGAGACCCCAGGACGTCCATTGATTTTGGGTGTGGGGACGTCACGCTTTCCATCGTAAAACCATCGAATCCCAAGAAAACCAGGGCACCCTGGCGGCAAGCAGGGTGTTTCTTGGCATGCGTTTCCACTGTGGTAGACAAGCGCGCTCCACGACTCGCAAAGTAACCACTCGCAACTGGCCTGGATCCGCCAATTCAGGATGATGCAACCTGCTGTATCCGCGCCGCAAGTTACTTCTCGGACGGCCTCGCGCCATCCATCTTGCACCTCGCAGGATAGATGAGGAGAGAGGGGGGGCATAAGCGAGGCCACGACAGGGGGAGGACGACAGCGACGACGAGGAGGAGGACGACGAGGCAGGAGTGGACGCTGGGCACCTCCACGAAGACGAGCGCCGCTCATCCGGCCGCGCCGCCCATCGGGCCAAGTCGAGGGGCGGCTCACGCCCCCCCCCCCTGCCCGTGTGTGAGAGAGAGTGGCGGGACCGCCGCTCCCTCTCGCCATCGCTCGGGCGTCCATTCCCTGCGTTTTTTCGGTTTCGTGCGTGGTTTTTTCGCCAAATGATCAAGGATGCTCCTCGATGGCCCTCGCCGAAGAAAAAATGCACACGTCCGAGCGATGCCAAGCCCTCCGTCTGGCGCGCCGGCGTGGGAGGGGAAGGCACGGGGCACTGGCGCCCCTGCTGCGACAACCTGCCCCTGCCTCGTGACAGGGCGCTCTCCAGACTCACGACCGCTTGCGGCGAGGTTATGTTGCATCCTCGGGGGACCTTGTCTGTCCCGTCGCGGCCCTGTCCGCGTCGAATCCGTGTCGAATCCATGTCGGACGCGTCGGATCCGTGTCGAATCCGTGTCGAATCCGCGTCGAATCCACGCCAAATCCGCGTCGAGTCCGCATCGAGCACGCGTCGGGCCCCCCAAAAAGACACCAATTTGGGGGACAGGCGAGGCCCCCCGAAGATGCAACAGAAGCGAGGCCGCCGTCTGTTGTTCTCACGCCTGCAGGCAGCGCACCCCGCGAGCGGTGGAACGCGCTCGGCGACCCGGGCAAGAGCGATCCGTGGTGCAGCGGCGGCCTGCGTGCTTGGGCCTGGCCCCGCAGCGCCCCCCAAAGGCCGCGCACCGGAGATCGCTCCTCCTCCTCCTCTTCCTCCTCCTCCTCCTCCTCCTCCTCCTCCTCCTCCTCCTCCTCCTCCTCCTCCCCCCTGGCGATAGGGTCACTCTTCCGTTGGGTGGCGACATCCATCCGACCGACCATCGGTTGTCCCGGCTCGGTGAGGGGCCCGGGGCGGGGCTCGGCTTCCGCCACGAGCCCGACGAAAATGCCGAACCCTGCCCCCGCCGCTCATCGAGTTGCCCGCCGATGCGTGCAGCCGATCCGTGGACGCCCACGGCGAGAGCCGACAGGACCGGCGGCGAAACCGAAGCCGACCGAGACCGACGGACCGAGGGCAGCCCGAGGGGAGGCCGCGGCGCACTGGCCAGCCGACCGAGTGCGGCCGAATGCGGTCGAGCGGCAAGCCGCCGAAGCGACCGACGCGTGAGTGCTGCTCTCCCCAATCTGCGCGATGAGAATTTGCCATCGCTCGGACGCCCATTGCCCGTGCATTGCTCGACCTCGTTTTTGTCTTCGCAGGACGACCCAAGCTGCTCTTCGATGGTCCAGATTCCGTGGCCTCGCCGAGAGAAGGAGGCACACGTCCGAAGGATGCCAATGAGAACAAGCGTGTCTTACACGAGCTGACACGGCGACCTCACGCGGCGGCTCACGCGGGCCAGGGGCGCGACACGCCCCAGTGAAAACGAGGGCGCCCACGCGCGGCCTTACGTGGGCAGCTTGTGCGCCAGTGTCGGCGCAGTCGACCCCGTCTTCCCTGCGTGCCCCACTTTTGAGGGGCAAAGATGGGGGGGGGGGGAGCCCGGCTTAGTGGCGCCCCGTGCGTCCCCAGCCGACTCCCCCTGAGGAGTATAGAACAGCATTGGCACGGGGGGAGGGGGAGGAGGAGGAGGAGGAGGAGGAGGAGGAGGAGGAGGAGGAGGAGGAGGAGGAGGAGGAGGAGGAGGAGGAGCCTGGAATCGGCGATGCATCGCCGATAGCTCGCGACAGGCTCGGGCCTCCCGCTAACGAGTCCGCGCGCCCATGGAAGGCACGAGACGGCAGGGTCCTGATCAGCGATGAATGGGCCAGTGCCTCCCCCCGTGAGCCTATTCCACCCTAACGCTGCCACTGGCCATTCCTCGCACGCAGCTCGGAATGAGCTCGTGGGTCATTGCAATCGTCGGCCTGAGCTCAGGAACGATAAACAAGGAACGAATCCCCTTTTCCAAGGAGTAACGCATGAGGAACGATCAATGATAAGTAACGCACAGGGAACGATAAATAACGCATGCAAGCCCAAAGAAGGACCGAGCCCCTTTTGAAAAGTAAGTGTTCCGTATTCAAGCCGCTCACTGTGCGCCTCAACCTCGGCATGCTGCAGCTGCCGAGAGCGAGCGGCACGCGCACGCATCTGCAAAGTGCACTGCCCGACCCCAGGGCCCCAGGGAGACCTCGGATCGAGCTGCACAGATCACACTCGGCCGTTGGACCGCCAAGAGCCTGCCTGGGTCCGACATTACCGCTGACCACTCCTCCTCCTCCTCCTCCTCCTCCTCCTCCTCCTCCTCGTCCTCGTCCTCCTCCCTCTCCTCCTCCTCCTCACGACGTGCGGGGCCTGGGTCCAGAGGTCGAACATCGACTCCAGGAACTGCTCTGGGGTGCGTCCGTGCCAGAGTTTCGAAGCGGATCCAGCTGTGGCCACGAGAGCGCCACGGGATGCCCAAGCAAGGTGGGCAAGGTGCAGGAACCTCGTGCCTCCATGCTCGAGGCTCCCAGTGGAGAGGGGAACAGGGGATATCCCCCCTGTCCCAGGCGATGCGTCCTCGTAGTGCTTGTCCGAGGGCGACAAGCACGCCACCATCAGCAGGAACCCGTTCCCGCCGATGGAGTGCTGCAGCAGCGAGGTGAGCTTGGACTCGCGGTAGGGTATGTGCAGGCCGGCGCCGCCGCCCTCTGGCCTCGCCCCGGTTGCAGTGACAGGACCACGCCAGCTACCTCTTCCTCCTCCTCCTCCTCCTCCTCCTCCTCCTCCTCCTCCTCCTCCTCCTCCTCCTCCTCCTCCTCCTCCTACTCCTCCTCCTCCTCCTCCTCCTCCTCCTCCTCCTCCTCCTCCTCCTCCTCCTCCTCCTCCTCCTCCTCCTCCTCCTCCTCCTCCTCCTCCCCCCCCTCCTCCTCCTCCTCCTCCTCCTCCTCATCCTCCTCCTCACGAGCTGAAGGCAGGAGGTTCCGTCGCTGTTGGAAGTCTTTCGCCGTTCCATTCGTGGGCCCGTCGTAAGTTTCTGGTCGCCACAGCTGGGCTCCGCTTCGAAAGCCTGGTCGCGACGCACCTCGGGAGAGGTCTTGGGGTGATTTTGAAACCGATCCGGGCCAAGATAATCTTGGGCCCTGAATGTGTGTATCTGCCCCCGTCTTCCTGTTGATCCCCCCCCATCCGATAGTATAGATGCCAGCATCCAGATCGGCAACATTCAAAATCCGCCAATCCCCACTTGCTGGGGGTGGAAAGGCGCGTGAGATGATTGGCGGTTTTCCCTCCCCCTTTCCCCCTCTCCTGGGGTCCAGAATCCCATCAGGGGCGGGTGGGTGTGGGCGGGGGGGGGGGATGGGAGGAGCCTCCAAGTCGACCCTCCGTTGCCGCCAAGATGCCCAAGATGCACTGCAAGATGGCTCCGGAAGGGCTCCAGCACGCAGGAGAGGCCCCAAGAGCACCCAAGATGGCCTCGAGACGGCCCACGGCTCCCTCAAGGCGCCCCAAGACGGCCTCAAGAGGCACACATCATTGGTCTCCAGCTGTTGCTTTCCTGATCTTCCCGTTCTCCCCTTCGCGGGCTCCCGATAACCCCACGAGGCCCGAGAGGGCCCCCCAAGCCGACCCAAGAACTAATAGAATACACTCCCCGGTGAACTGGGCCACCTGCCGCGAGAGCGGGCCACTTCCCAGCGACCCTGGCCCAATGAACTTCTGTGGCAACTCATGGGAGCCTCCCATATCATCTTGTTGGCTCTTGCGAATCGCCGCTAGTCGATGCGAGTCGACGCTACATCGACGCTCACCGACGCTAAATCTGCGCTATCTCATGGACTCCCAGACGTTCATCGACGATCAACGACGCTCCCATGATTTGCTACTGAACATGAACTTGTCCACTTCCCGGCGGCCCGCGCGCGCGCACCGCGCGCGCGCGCCCGCTCGTGCACGGCGCTCCTGCTGCCGTTTGCGCCCACGCACTGCGCACGTGCACCCTGGAGGCACGAGCGCTAAAACCTCAGAGACACGAGCGCTGCACGCACTGAAGCCTTACAGGCACAAGCGCTGCACGCACCCAAATCTGAGAGAGAGACAGCCGCTACCTGCAGAAATCCTTAAAGACACAAGCGCCACACGCACTGAAGCCTGGGAGACACAAGCGTTACACGCACTGAAACCTTAGAGGCACAAGCGTTACACGCACTGAAACCTTAGAGGCACAAGCACTACACGCACTGAAACCCTGGAGACACAAGCGTTGCTCGCACTGAAACCTTAGACACACAAGCGCTGCTCGCACTGAAACCTTAGAGGCACAAACGCTAGACGCACTGAAACTTTAGAGACACAAACGCAACACGCACTCAAACCTTAGACACAAGCGCTCCACGCACTGAACCTTAGAGAGACAGATGCTACCCACATATAACCTCAAGACAGAAGCGCTCCACGCATTGAAACCTTAGAGAGACAGACGCTACACGCACTGACACCTTAGAGGCACAAGCGCTACACGCACTTACACCATAGAGGCACAAACGCTGCACGCACTTAAACCGTAAAGACACAAACGCTATCTCCATTAGTCGTAGCTCGGTTTGTGGATATTATTTCGGATTTTGTTTGATGCATTGATTTGGAACGGTTCGGGGATAGTGATCAGGAAGCTGTTTATGTCGCTGGTGATGGCATTGTGTATGATATCAGCCTGAATATTGCTTAGGGTACGAGTTCAGATATTGTGTGGGATGTTGTTTGGAATCTTGCCCAGGCCACGGATGAGACGATGTTGTAGACTATTGTTGGGTATATTGTGTTGTATACGACTTGACGCATTGCTTAGGACACTGTTGGGGGTGCTGTTTAGACTATTGCATGTGATGTTGGCTAGGGTACTGATGCTGTTGACGTGATGGTTGAGGGTAATGCTTAAGATTGTGCGTAAACTGTCGTTCAGGACGTTGGCTGGGATCTTGTTTAGGCTGGTGTTCATGACAATGAATTGAACGGTGAAAAGAATCTGGCTTAGTGTAACAATCCGGGTGTATTCGCGACAATGTTTCGGATGCCGCTTTCGAATCTGACCTATCTGATGTTAGAATAGCGGCTTCGACCTTCATTCGGTATGATGTAGACAATATTGCTCGTTCGGGGATTAGCCCGTTGCTGGAATATTATCCAACGTTTTGTTCCCCACATGTTTCGTGGGGTTATGGTTTTCTTCCCTGCCGCGCCGCACCCGGGTCTGACACCTCCCCCCTCCCCTTCTCCTTCTCTCACAGCACAGCACTGCACAGCACTGCTCAGCATAGCTCAGCACAGCTCAGCTCAGCTCAGCTCAGCACAGCTCAGCTCAGCTCAGCACAGCACAGCACAGCACAGCACTGCTCAGCATAGCTCAGCACAGCTCAACTCAGCTCAGCTCAGCACAGCACAGCACAGCTCAGCATAGCACAGCACAGCACAGTACAGCACAGCACAGCACAGCACTGCTCAGCACAGCTCAGCACAGCTCAGCTCAGCTCAAGACAGCTCAGCTCGGTCGTCCAGCCCGTAGCAGGCGTGGCACTTTCTCGATACCATAGGGGGTGCGCAGGGGGTGGTCCCCCTATCCGCGCCGGTCGTCCAGGCCGTAGCAGGCGTGGCAGTTTCTCGACGCCATAGTGGGTGCGCACGGGGTGGTCCCCCTATCCGCGCCGGTCGTCCAGGCCGTAGCAGGCGTGGCAGCTTCTCGACACCATAGGGTGCGCAGGGGGTGGTCCCCCTATCCGCGCCGGTCGTCCAGGCCGTAGCAGGCGTGGCAGTTTCTCGACACCATAGGGGGTGCGCACGGGGTGGTCCCCCTATCCGCGCCGGTCGTCCAGGCCGTAGCAGGCGTGGCAGTTTCTCGACACCATAGGGGGTGCGCAGGGGTGGTCCCGCACTATCCGCGCCGGTCGTCCAGGCCGTAGCAGGCGTGGCAGTTTCTCGACACCATAGGGGGTGCGCAGGGGGTGGTCCCCCTATCCGCGCCGGTCGTCCAGGCCGTAGCAGGCGTGGCAGTTTCTCGACGCCATAGTGGGTGCGCACGGGGTGGTCCCCCTATCCGCGCCGGTCGTCCAGGCCGTAGCAGGCGTGGCACTTTCTCGACACCATAGGGGGTGCGCAGGGTGGTGTAGCAGGCGTGGCAGTTTCTCGACCATAGGGGGTGCGCACGGGGTGGTCCCCCTATCCGCGCCGGTCGTCCAGGCCGTAGCAGGCGTGGCAGTTTCTCGACACCATAGGGGGTGCGCAGGGGGTGGTCCCCCTATCCGCGCCGGTCGTCCAGGCCGTAGCAGGCGTGGCAGTTTCTCGACGCCATAGTGGGTGCGCACGGGGTGGTCCCCCTATCCGCGCCGGTCGTCCAGGCCGTAGCAGGCGTGGCACTTTCTCGACACCATAGGGGGTGCGCACGGGGTGGTCCCCCTATCCGCGCCGGTCGTCCAGGCCGTAGCAGGCGTGGCACTTTCTCGACCCGGGTGCGCACGGGGTGGTCCCCCTATCCGCGCCGGTCGTCCAGGCCGTAGCAGGCGTGGCACTTTCTCGACACCATAGGGGTGCGCAGGGGGTGGTCCCCCTATCCGCGCCGGTCGTCCAGGCCGTAGCAGGCGTGGCAGTTTCTCGACACCATAGGGGGTGCGCAGGGGGTGGTCCCCCTATCCGCGCCGGTCGTCCAGGCCGTAGCAGGCGTGGCAGTTTCTCGATACCATAGGGGGTGCGCACGGGGTGGTCCCCCTATCCGCGCCGGTCGTCCAGGGCAGAGCAGGCGTGGCACTTTCTCGACACTTAGGGGGTGCGCAGGGGGTGGTCCCTGAGCGCGGCCGCTATCCGAGACGGTCGTCCAGGGCATAGCAGGCGTGGCACTTTCTCGACACCATAGGGGGTGCGCAGGGGGTGGTCCCTGAGCGCGGCCGCTATCCGAGACGGTCGTCCAGGGCATAGTAGGCGTGGCACTTTCTCGATTCCATAGGGGGTGCGCAGGGGGTGGTCCCTGAGCGCGGCCGCTATCCGAGACGGTCGTCCAGGGCATATTAGGCGTGGCACTTTCTCGATTCCATAGGGGGTGCGCAGGGGGTGGTCCCCGAGCGCGGCCGCTATTCGAGACGTCGTCCAGGGCATAGCAGGTGTGGCACTTTCTCGACACCATAGGGGGTGCGCAGGGGTTGGTCCCTCACCGCGGCCGCTATGCACGACGGTCGTCCAGGGCATAGCAGGTGTGGCACTTTCTCGACACCATAGGGGGTGCGCAGGGGGTGGTCCGTCACCGCGGCCGCTATGCACGACGGTCGTCCAGGGCATAGCAGGCGTGGCACTTTCTGGACAAAATAGGGGGTGCGCAGGGGAGGGCAACGGCCACCAACATCATTCTTACATGCTTCACTTCAGCCATCATCACTCCAGACATAATATAAGTATGTGGGGTTCCTCGGCAGCGTAATTCAGGATACTGTGGGGTCGTGGTAGCAGTAGTAGTCGCCTTCGTCCTCGTGCTAAGTCTGTATAGTAGCAGCAACGGCAATAGGTGTCTTCATCAGCCGCGTTTGTAGTAGTAGTAGTAGTAGTAGTAGTAGTAGTAGTAGTAGTAGTAGTAGTAG